CCCCCCCCCCCCCCCCCCCCCCCCCCCCCCCCTCAATCTGATTTCCCATACCCAAATGCACGGAATCCCGCGGGAACACCATTTCGCCCACTACAGCAACAACGAAGACCGAAACAACAACCACACTACCGTTGCGGCGACTACAATAATAATGAAGCCGCGTCATTGCCAATGATCGATGAACTGGACAAGCAGTCTACCGTCGACTACAACAACAAACACCTAAAAACAACCCGTCCGCGATGGCAAACCCTCCGAAGGAATTGTGCGCGCAAGCGAAAGACGCAAGCGTTGTGAATCAACGACGGCGGAACACGACTTCAACGAAGAAGTCTTCTAGGAGAGAAACAGGCAGGCGGTAGGCAGGATCACATGTGTTTCATTCGCTCCGCCAACACATTGCGGAGCGCGTGTGCCGCGTGCGTCGAAGTCAACATCGTCACTGGCTGCGGGGGATGATGAATCCCCAGGTCCACTCGGCGCCTCACCCCGTTCTCGTCGACCTCCCACAACAGATTCTCGTAGAACTCGATACCGGCGTCGATCAGGATGTTGTGGAGAATGCAGACGGTCGTGAACTGTTGAGGTAGAGTGTCGAGGTCCGTGTTGTGCATCCGCAGGAAGAGCCTCTACATCCCCTTCAACCTCCCGAACGCCCTCTCCACAACCCCTCTTGCGACCTTCAGCTTCGTGTCGAACCTTTCCTCGTCTGGGTGCTGATTGATTCCTCCATATGGAACCACCACCAATTCAGAAGGAGGATACCCGTTGCCGCCCAAGATGCATCCGTTCGTCCTCACCCCTCGCGGCAGTGTGACAGGCGGCCCACGAAACAACATTCCCTCTTCCGCGCGCCTGGATAGACTTGACAACTGGATCACCCTAATGTCGTGGCAGCTCACTGGATATCCAACGAACATGTCAAGCGCGCGCAGATCCAGGTCCACCATTACCTACACAATGACGGAGAAACGGTGCTTGCGGTCGAAGTAGTTCTAGCTCGGCGTGTTCACTGGTTTGTCCTCGTAGATGTGTGTGCAGTCAACTGCGCCATGGCAGTTGGGAAAGCCCTTGTTCAGAAACGCTCGTAGCACGGCGTGTTTCCGCACCCCCGTCGGCCACGATATCTTGCCCCCATACACCCTCAGCATAGCGCTTGTCACATCGCGCACGACTCGAACTCCGAAAGCCCTGCCCATGCCGAAGGATGATGTGTTGTTGTCGTATGACTCTCCTGTAGCCCACCTGTATAGCACGTACGCGACAATCTGCTCCGGCTGAGGTGGCTCCCTGTAAAACGTCACCTGTTGTTGCAAATAAGCCGCACAGGCTTCGATGATCTCCATGAACACTCTCCTGGACATGCGGAGCTTTTCCCGGAAGTAGTCGTCTGTCGCATCATCGCACGCCCGCAAATCCTCCCAAGTCCCGCCAGGTCTCCGCCTCATCCACCAACGAGGCGTCGCCCGAGGAAGCACACCGCACCCGATAGCAGCGCACAGCTGAACCACGGCCTCCGAAGTGGTAATGCAGTCTGAGGCGTCCAACACCCTCTGCAGCAGAAGCCTCTGCCACCGCCTCGAAAGTGTTGCCTTCATGCGCTTGGGCGCCCTCTTGACTTGGAATCGACGGACAACAGCAACCGCAGCCGCCGCGACAGCTGTCTTCTCCGTCCTCAATAGCACGGCACGACCATCCCCATCGCAGCCCTCCATTACGCCCTTCCAACACGAAAAACAACGTCCACCGCCACCCACCGGCGTCTACGTCTGCCACCACGATTGAAGACGCCTGCAATCAGGTCAGGAAGACAACCGTGTTCAACGATGTTCCACCACCAATTGGAGCGTCTGCCCACCTCCGCTGAAGTACGGAGCCGCCACGCGCCTCCACGTGGCGAGCGCAACTGCCGATACCCCTCTTCGCTTCGCTGCGTCAACCACACTTGAGACAGTGGCGATGCGGCGATGCTGAAGTACGCAACGCGATGGCAACCGAAACCCTGCGCGGCGTGCACTGCCCCCCCCTCGCCTACCCGCCTGTGCGCCGCCACACCGTCGCTCCGCAAAACGCAAATTCGAATTTCGAATTTCAAACGGGGCCGTTCCATCGTTGGCGATTTTCTTTTCCAGGGCCCGTGACGTATTGCCGTCGTCCGCCCGCTGGACCACCACGTTTCCTACACGGACATCCCGAATCGGAGGTCGGACAATCCCCTCGCGGCCGTGTATAATCTAATGAAACTGGCCGCGGGAGGGCCCCGAGGATTCGTTCTCGGGGCGATTCTCCGAGGACAGGTGGAACGACACCTCAAAAAATCAAAAAAAACTCCGAGGATTCGTCCTCGGAGCCCGAGGACGCTCTGAGGAGTGTCGAACGATGCCCTAAGTAGGATCTGCGCAATGGCTACCGAACCTAACCGCAAACGAGCGAAAAAAAGACAGTAAACAGCATATCCCCACGAACACTGTGAACATTACTCCATTGCACGACATCAACTGCGGCTATGGAAACCCGCCATGGCATACGAGTACATGCACCTTCTATGACCGCGCATCCCAACAAACTGTGAGGCCGTTCAGCTGGATGGACCTGGCTTCACCACTCACCACATGCGCTGGTGAGGGGTTCAACTGCTGTGTATCTTCCCATATTTAGCAGGACTATTCATTCTCATTTTCAGCTAGATGGACCTG